TCTCCTCTCCTCTCCTCTCCTCTCCTCTCCTCTCCACTCCTTTCTTTGCCCCATTTCTTTTTCTCCTCTTCCCCCTCTCTTCTCCTCTTCCTCTTCTCTCATTCTTTCCTCTCCGTGTCCCTTCTCCCCATTCTCCCCTTCCTCTTTCCCCTCCTTTCTCTCCTTTTATTTTCCCTCCTCCTTTCTCCATTCTCACCCTCCCCCACCTTCTATCTCTCCCTCCTCTCCCAGGAACCTCTCCTCAAAAGAGCAATAGAACTCAAGCCAGATGGATCTAGCTAGTTTATTCCAAAGAAATCTGGAAAGACTCCATTGCCCTTTCTCCTAGTCCCAGCTCCAACCATGCTTGGCTTCCTCGCCACGCCCAGCTCCCTGGTTCCGCCCTTAGCTCTGGCCCACCAGACCTTGCTTGGAAAGGGGAACACATGGAGCTGATGAGTGCAGGAAGCATTTGGAGGCTTCCCATATGTAAATCAGAGCCACATTCCTATTAAACGCCACCATCCTGGGCCCCTCCACCAGTAGGCTCCCACTGCTTACTGTGTCTTTCCCCATGTAGTACGCTGGTCTGTGAGCATGTTTGCTAGGGGTTCTAAAGATGTACGGACAAGAGAATATATCTGAACCAAGGTGGTGACGCACACCTTTAATCCCAGCACTCGGGAGGCAGAGGCAGGCAGATCTTTGTGAGTTCAAGACCAGCCTGGTCTACAAAGTGAGTTCCAGGACAGCCAGAGCTATACAGAAAAACCCTGTCTGGAAAAATCTGAGAAAGAGAGAGAGAGAGAGAGAGAGAGAGAGAGAGAGAGAGAGAGAGAGAATGAGAGAATATATGTGCTTCCCAAGCTCTGTTTATGGTCTATTATAGGAGGGACCTGACCTCCTGGGACCTTATTCTTGAGCCATGAGCTTTGGCCACAGGAAATAAGAAAAAAAAAGTAACAAGTGGTGAAGAAATATATAAATAAAGGAAAAGGTAGGTGGAGAAGGAAATATGGAAAGAGATCGGTGGGTAAATGGATGAATGTATGTATGGGTGGGTGGATAGATGGGTATGGTGATATTGTGTCCCCCAATATATTGTGCACCCTAATTAACTTATCTGGGGTCAGAGAACAGAACAGAACACTAGACAGACATAGAGGCCAGAAAATTGTGGCACATACACCTTTAATCCTATCACTTGGAAGGCAGAGATCCATTGGGATCTCTGTGAGTTTAAGGCCACAGTGGGAACCGCCAGGTCTGGTGACACACACCTTTAATCTCAGGAAGTGATGACAGGAAGCAGAAAGGTATATATAAGGCGTGAGGACTAGGAACTAAGTTTGTTAAGCTTTTAGGCTTTTAGCAGCAGTTCAGCTGAGATCCATTTGGTTGAGGACACAGAGGCTTCCAGTTTGAGGAAACAGGATCAGCTGAGGAACTGGCAAGGTGAGGTAGCTCTTGCTTGTTCTTTTTCTCTGATCTTCCAGCATTCACCCCAATAACTGGCTCCAGGTTGTTTTTATTAATAAGACCTTTTAAGATTCGTGTTACAGATGGGTGTGTGGATAGATATGTGGGCAGATCAATAAATGTGCAGGTGAATTGATATATAAATGGGTGGATGGATGGATGGGATAGATGGACTGATTGATGAGTGGGTGGGTAAGTGGATATATGGATAGGTAGGTAGGTGGATAAATGAGTGAATGGGTAGGTGGATGAATAAGAAGTGGATAAATAGATGAATGGATGGATATATAGGTAGTGGATGGATGGATGGATGGATAGATGGATGGGTGGATGGATGGATAGGTGGAAGAATGGGGGTGAATGGATGACTGAATGGGTGGATGTATAGATGGGCAGATGAATTGGGAGTAGGTAGATGGATGGATAAATGAGTGAGTGGGTGAGCAGGTAGATGACTGAATGTGTGTATGGGTGGATGGGTGAGTGGAGTTAGATCAATGAGTGGATCGGTTGATAAATAAATGGGTGGGTGGATATATGGGGGATGAGCAGATGACTGAATGTTGGTAGCTATATGGGTAGGTGGATGGGCGAATGAGTGACTAAGTAGCTAGATGAATGAGTAGGTGGATAAATAGTGGATGATGGCTGTAAGTATAGATGGATTGATAAAGGGGTGGATAAATGGATAGATATGTGGATGAGTGGATTAATGGATGGGTGGATGGATGGATGAATGGAGTATATGGATAGGTGAATAGGCAAATGTATGGGTGGGTGTATGAATAGAGGGTGGATAGATGGATGTGAGGTGAATGAATGTATTGATGAGTGAGTGAATGGGTTGGTGGGTGGGTAGATATATGGGTGGATGGATGGGTGAGTGGGTGGTTGGATGGATGGATGGTTGAATGAGTGGATGGATGGATGGAGGAATGAGTGAGTGGATCACTGAATGTTGGTGAATATATGGGTGGGAAGATGGGTGGCTGGATGGGTAGATGGGTGAGTGGGTGGATGAATGAATAAGTATGTGATATGAATAAAGAGAAGGTAATGGATAAATGGATGACTGGTGGGTGGGTAGATGGATGGAAGGGTGAATATGTGGATAGGTGGATGAATGGATGAGGGGTGGGTGGATGGATGACCAGGTATATGGATGAATGGAGGGTAAGTGGATGACTGAATGGGTAGATATTGGTGAGTGGATGACTAGGGAGTATATAAATCGGTGTATGGGTGGGTGAATAAGTGGATGGGTAGATGGATAAATGGGTGGATATATGAGTGAATGTATGGATGGATAGATGGATGAATGAGTAGATAGGTAGATGAATAAATGGATTGGGTAGATGAATGGGGGATGAATAGATGACTGAATGTTGGTGGATATATGGATGGGTAGATGGGGTTGTATTGATGAATTGAAGAGTGGGTGAATATATGGGTAGGTGAATGGGTGAGTGGATGAGGGGTAGATGGATGACTTGATGGGTGGATATATGGGTGGGTAGATGAATAGGGGTGGATGAATGGGTAGGTGGATGGGTGGATATATGGGTGAGTGGATGGATGAATAGTTGGATGGGTGGGTGGGTGGGTATGTGTATGGATAATATATGGGTGAGTGAGTAGATTGATGGATGAGTAGGTGGGTGGGTGGGTAGTTGAGTGGATAGATGGGTAGGTGGGTGGATATATGGGTGATTGGATAGATGTGGGGTGATTAGGTGTGATAAGTGGTTGGTAGATGGGTAGATTTATGAGTGGGTGGATGGGTGAGTGATTGGATGGGTGTGAGTAGATAGATAGTAGATAGAGTGAGTGGGTAGGTATGTAGATGGATGGATGGATACATGGATGGATGGGGATTGGATAGATAGATGCATGAGTGAATGGTGGATGGATGAATGGGTGGGTGGATGGATGGATGCATGGGATGGATAAATGGATGAATTGGAGGGTGGCACATAGGATGAAAGAATAGGTGGATGAAAGAGGAGGTAGATAGGACATGGATAAATTACTGGACAGATATAATATGAAGAGAGGCAGACATATGACTATAAATAAATAATGGATAAATAGATTCAACAATAGATGTATGGTGGCAAGATAAACATATGACAAATCAATAAAATGGATAAGTTAGTATGGGATGAACTATTGGAGACACTGATTGGTGAAAAGACACCTCTCCGTCATAAATTTTGTACTGCCTTTCTGGAATACTTTCTCCACCTGGGATAAAGTCGGTCAGTCTCTCTCCCTTTTCAACTCTATCTCCCTCTCTCTCTCCTCTTCTTAAACCAGGAAGTGCTTATTCCTTCCCACCAAGCTTTTCTTCTTTGTTAACTATCATACAAAACATCTCTGGTGCTCCCTGTTTGCTTACTCTGGCTCCCACTTTCAGCAGCATTAACCATCATCTGCAATGTGTTGGTACATACTTACTTATTTGTTCCCACTAAAATGTTAGCATCATGAGCATTGGAGAGTGGTGCTGAATTCCCAGCACATGAAAAATTATTGGAATTCAATTTGTGTTTCTTGAATAAACATGTGGATTGATGGACAAATGTGTGGCTAATTAAGTGTATATGTGAGTGGAAGGATGACAGGGAGGAAGAGTAGGTGATGATGATTGGGCTGGAGGATGATTTCTCATACATAATGTACTGACTTGCTTGGATGACAGTGCATGCAGTATCACAAAAACAGATGTGTGCAGCTGGATGTTCAGCTTCCTAGGTGAGAAGATGTCTAGAAAGATGGATTTATAAATGAATATGGAAAAGGTATAAAGAAAATGTAGAAATCTATACAAATGAGTGAAAACAAGAGCAGAAGAATATTTGGAGATGGAGGCATGGATTGAAGACATTTTCCTGGTGGAACAAATGAACATAAAAACTGAAGAGTGAACATGTAGGTAGTATTCATTATTATGTACTAGGAGGTTAGCAGGCACCAAATGGCTGGCTGGCTCACTGAACACTTCTTCTAGGTGTGCTGATGAAATAACTCGGTGTGGTAAAATGGTTATTGCCACGCAAGCTTGGTAAGCTGAGTTTGATCCCCAGAAACCATGTAAAGAAGGCTGGAGGGAATCAGCTTCACAAAGCTGTCTTCTGACATCCACATGCTCACTGTGGTACATGCAGCCTCCCTTAATAATGATAAACTTCAGAAAATTTTCAAGATAGTTAAGTTAGTAGGTAAGTGGATAGATAGGCAGATGGATGGATGGATGGACACATGAATGGATGGGTCAATTGAAAGATTCTTTTTCATTGGAGAAATTATGTAATGAAAGATGAATAGACATGAGCATAGTTGTATGAATAGTTGCTTGAAATGACTGAATAGTAGGATGTGTTGTATTCACATCGGAAAATGGATAAGCATGATGAAGAGTTGATGGGTTGATACGTGATACATCAAAATACAAGCACCATAAAGACAAGATGGATGGATGGATGGATGGATGGATGGATGGATGGATGGGTAGGTAGGTGAGTAAGAATGAGTATATGGGTGAGTAGATGTAAGAGTGAGTGTACACATCCGTGTATGTATGGGTGGGTAGGTAGACAAATAATAGACAGTAATGTCAGTATCAAATGTTCTGTCCACTTGTCCATACATGTCATGGCTTCAAAGCCTTAAATCATTCTACATTTCTTCATAAGAACTACCCCCCCCCATTAAGGCAGCCCTCCCCTGTCTGGAAACATTCTTCCTTCTTTTGAACCCAGTTGCCCTGACCCCATGTCTTTCCTGGCTGTCTAGCTGGAAATAGGAATAGGGGCAAGGAGGTAGTGTGGTGAATTGTGGCGCAGACGCAGCACAAGCTGGTTCCACTGGGTGATCTTCTCAGCATGGGCTCACCAGAGGGAGGTTCTTCCCAGCCCTGTCCTTATTACTTCAGAATGTGCTGTGTATTATGTCTCTGCACTGTGGGAGAGGACAGTGGACTCTGCTGTCTCTGCTATACACCCTGGTTCCATCTCCTCCTGGGAGATGCCGGGGGAGGGAGATGCTGTAACCGCTATGTTCAGAACAGCTGGATCTCATCCTGTAGCAAGTGTTGCAGAAAAGGTGAGTAGTCATCTTTTTGCTGCAGATTAGAGCTGTGGATCCATGTGACACTGTATCTGTGTCGTCACCTTAAGGCATACCTCTTTCCCACCAGTGATCCATTCCCACCGGAGACTCCAACTCCCTCCTCTGTCCTCAGTAGTCCTGAGGTTTCCTGTAATCTGACTTCCTGACCTACCTAGAGGTCCCAGCAACTCATCTGTGTCCATTCTCCCAGTATGGAGGTGGAGGACAACTGGGGGCCAGCTGCGTACAGGGAGACACAGTAGGCAGTGGTTGGCAGCCAATAGCCCCAACTATGGTCTTGGGCCTGCCAGACTCTGTCTCTGTGACCTGGCACAGTGCTGCTGGCCAGCCTTGGTTTTCCCATCTGGCTCATGGGTCTAGCAGTACCGCTTGTCGGCAGCTATGAGTGTGAGTGATCTGAGAAGCCACCAGATGTAAGCCTACTTGCCCAGAACTGGCCCATGGCAACTTCCTCCCAGCCCAGCCACTAGCCTCCAGTGTTCTCCAGTGAGTCACAGTGACTAAGCCCAACCAGAAAAACAATGGGCTGGGCTGCTTGTCCCTGGGTCTGAGCCAGAGGATAGGGTAGGGGGCTGGCTGGTGAGGGCACCGACCACCCGGGTACCCTCCACCACTCTGGGGACTTTGGCTCCCTGTACCAAGGAAGATGCTCTCTGTGGTGTCTATACATCCCTGCTCTGAATACAGCCTGAGGTTCTGGGGAGGGCAGTAGCCTCCCAACGAGGCGACCTGGGAAGATTCCTGGGGTGCCCAGCCTCCCCTGGAGGTTATACAAGAGCAGAGAGCTGGGAATAAACAGAGGGAAAAAGAAGACCCAGAGGGGGGAGAAGAGGGAGGGGGAGGAGGGAGAAAAAGAAGGGAGGGAAAGGAATGGGGGAGGGAAGGTAGGAGGGAGACTGAGATAGGGATGAAAACACCAGAAGAGAAGAAAAGGGCAAGGAGGGGCAGTCAGCCAGGTCAGGGGCAGCCGAGGCCCAGACCTGGGAGGAGAGGGCCAGGGGTCAGGGAGAGCAGGACTCGGAGCAGGCACCAGCAGGCAGGCAGAGCTGGGCAAGAGGCTCTTCGGATGGGGAGATGACCTGTAGGCCAGGCACCCAGAGTGGAGCAGTGGGCAGAGAGGTGGGAAGTGGCGGAAGCTGCCAAGATGGTCTGAGGGGGGCATACCACCATGCTGCCCACAAGCGGGCGTGGAGGTCCAGCCAGGCCCCCACACTGCGGGGCTGGGAGGGTTTCTCTCTGACATTTTTACTAGTCTTGGAAGGAGGAGGAGGTGGTGGAGGTGGAGGAGACCGAGGGGGCGGAGAAGGGGGCTGGGGGACAAAAGGAAAGCAGCTGCTGAACGTCCTGAGAAAGGAGAGGGGAGAGAGACCCACAGAGACAGGGTCCAGGGACAGTGGAAGGGCCTGGAGCTGCCATCTGGGAGCCAGCCCCAGACCCCTGCCCCCAGGGGCTGGAGGGGCCGAGACAGACAGGCATCCTTCAGACAGACAGACAGAGCAAACAAGGAAGGGGTGTCAGAGCCAGAGAGACCAGACAAACTGACAGGGAAGGGGGCAGGGACAAGAGAGGGACAAGGACACAAAGAGAAGGACAAGGAGGAGAGAGAAGGCAGGGCAGGAGAGAGAAAAGGAAAAGAAGGGAGAGGAGAGCAGAGTTTTGGGGCCTCAGCACCAGGAGCCTTTGAAGCTGCAGGCGGTGTCCCCAGGGCCAGGGGTCAGGACAGGTCACCAGCATCGTCGCGGGCAGGCCCGCAGCATGAATGGCCCCGCACTCCTGAGGAGAAATGCTAGCAAACGGGGCCTGGAGAAGCTGCTGAGGTAGGTCCCTCCCAGCCCAGGCATGGTGCCCGCGGCGCCCTTGCCGACAGTGGTACCCCCCTGCACCCAGACTGGCAGATATGTGGCCCACAGGCTGTGCCGGGCTGCCTATGCACGTGTTACGGGAGGATACTGAAGCCCAGCACGAAGCCATCATCTTGGCCAGCCAGGCAGCTTCACCTCTTCCTCCCATAGCTCCCTGTGTGTCCTCAGGACCCACAGAGAATGTATCCTCAGAGTAGCTGCCCAGGCCCCCTCCCCATGTCTTCTTGCTGCCCCTGGGAACTAACGAGTGACACCCCCCCTCCCACTTTACAAATGAGACTGGACTCACAGCCATAGGCCCCAGAAACCACTGGCCTGACAGTCCTGGGAGCGGGAGGCACTGGAACCATCGGGAATCCTGACTCTCTGGCCACTGGACCTCAGGCCCTTGCGAGTCCTCACTCAGCCTGTTTTCTCCTACGTAAAGTGTGTGTGAGAGAACAGACAACCGTAGGCCCAGGCCCTGCAAACCTCAGGCGCTTCCAATTAACTGCTCATTGCTGCCCTCTGAGCCGCCTGCTGTGCCCTCCCTCTTCCTCCCTCTTCCAGCTTTAAAGCTCTGCGGCAGTGCCACCTCCTCCAGGAAGCCTGTCATGGTCTCCCTAGCCAGGAAGGCTCGGCTCCTCTGCTCATGTGGTGGCCTGTTCCCTGGCCCACTTCCATGGCTGCTTAAACCCTATGTTCCTAGAGGGTGGGTCTGGCATTGTTTCATGTGTCGATGTGTTTTGGTCCTGGCTCTCAGGGGTGAGACAGGGCACAGATGAGTGGTGGGTAGATGCCAGGAGATGGCTACCTCCAAGTCCTGGCCCTATCATGGTCCCAGCTGGCAACCAAGGCCAGCAGACTAGCAGCAGGGTCTATGTTAGCCTCCTGGCCCCTCTCTGCCCCAGCTCCCAGCCAATACCATATCCATGCCCCATGCCAGTCTTTCAGGACCAGCCCAGCCTGCTCAGGGTCCTCATGCATGGCCACCTCGCTCAGGCTAGGCGTCCTTCCTGTCCTGTCCAGGCTGGGATGTATTCTCCATTGTCACCATCCTTCATGGTGCCCCGTGTCCTGAGAATGTAGGAGCACCTTTGATCAATCTTATCGCCTCACCAGTATCATGTAACAAGGAGGAAACTGATCCCAGCACCATGGTGGCTGTGGGGTGACAGGAAGAGCTGCAAGACCCAGCACCAGGCTGACCTTCTGCTAATCCAGAGGCAGGGCAATGGGGCCACGAAAGCTATAGACCAGGCAAGACCTTGGGCAGGGGTTAGCTTTGGCACCGTTCAAAGTCTTGAGCTGAAGAAAGGTGGGAGGGGACGCAGAGACCAAGGCCTACAAGGTTAACCAGTAGGCAAGACAGGAGGGCAGGTCCCTAGGAGGTCTTAGGGAACCCTGATGAAGTGGGAGAGTGGGTCCAGGGTATTGTCCCTTGTGGGTGATGATGGAGAACTGCCTGTCCATGTGTAGAGTGGGTCCACAATGGATGACGGAGTGATGCCCGGGGTAGATATATGCTAAACTGTACGTCTTTGGGAACCTGGCCCCGTGATAGAACACACCTCTCATGTGCACTGAGTACACACACATGTGCAGACATGTACATGCTACCACCTAGCACTATGACACCTTCCACCCCTGCTCCCATTGAGCCCTCTGTCCACATGTCTATAGCATCCAACACTGTCCACTTTGCCCAGCCCTGAAGAACAGGTCTCCCTCTACCTTGTCTCTGTTGGACAGATGAGGAAAGTAGGCTCAGAGAGGTCAAGTGACTTGCTCAAGGCCACCCAGCAGGTGACCTACCTCCTATCATTCACTGCCTTTGCTCAGATCCTTTCCCAAGAACCCAAAGCTTTCTCATCACACCTAGTAGCAGAGCCCTGCCTGTCTCCATCTGTGACAAGCTCTGGAGAGGTTGCTGTGTGCCGGCAGAGGCCAAGATGCAAACTGAACCTACCGTAGGTCAGGCCACGGTTAAGGATGGTCACCTGGGCTCTCAGCTGGCTACCTGGTTCTGCAGCCCTTAGGGGCCTAGATTTAAGAGCAACTGGGCTGGTCAGGAGTACCTTGAGTTGATGCTGGCCTAAGAGACTGAGCTAGGAGTCATCTTAGCAGGCATCACGAACCAAGCCTCCCTTGGGTGGTGTGAGTCTCTGTCTCATTAGTCCCAGCACCCATCAGACAGCAGATAGCATGGCATCAGTCTATAGCTCCCCTGAGGTATAAGACTCTTCAGGCAGGTTCCCACCCCACATGTGGCCCACTGGACCTCTGGGGATCCCAGTGTGGCAGAGGGTAGCAGATGGGATTGGCAGTCTGCTGGGTGGCCCAGTGGGGGGAGGGGAAGCCAGGCCTCCAACCACAGTGTCCAGGGAGGCGTGGCTCCACGGACCCATTGGAGGCCGAGATCCCGAGGGTGGGGTGGCCCCACCCTGGCAGGCCGGGTGGCCGGTGGGCGGCACCCCCGCGGGCCGGGTGGTCTGTCTGCCAGAGCCTGTCCTGCCTGGAGCCTAGCCGAGCCAGCAGCAGGGGGTACAGGGACCAAGTGGCCCAGCCCCCTGGGCAGGGTGTCAGGGCCAGAGCCCAGAGGACTGAGGTTCCGGTTCCAGTCCCAGCCGGTGCGTCAGAGCTGGGTAGATCGGGCGGCAAGCAGCAGCCAGGGCGCCAAGGCACCCAGAGACTCACCCACCCCATGCTTCTGCTGGAGTCAGGAGGGGACACCCTAGGGCTCTTGGGACCCTTGGGATAGCTGCAAGGGGTACAGCCCCGAGGGACACTGCTACAGGCCCAGAGCATCTCTCCAGAGAACAATGCCAGAATGGACCACCAAGGTCTCCAGAGCACAGGTGGGCACATGGGCTGAAGGAGGGCAAAGGGCTTCAGGTGGGCACAGGGGCTGAGGGGGGCAAGTGGCTGCAGGTAGGATAGGCGCTCCAGGTAGTAGCCGGGGTTAGAACCTGTTAGGTGGATCTATGGGCAGAGAAAGGTTCTTAGGCTCTGGTATCAAGTGAGACCAGACCTGGCCCTCAGCCCGTAGATCTGGCTGTGCAGGTTGTTGTCCCAAGGAGCAGGAATGTGGCTATGAGCGTCCGCTACTATCTATCCAGGGCAGGGGACAAGCTAAGGCCAGCTGGTAATGGCACTTCAGGAAGATGGAGGGTCTGGCCTGGAGATGCCGGGGCCAGGGGAGTAACACATTGGATGCTCCTGGGGACTGACTTTGAAAGTCCTCTGAGAGAATGTGTCCTACCAGGTAGGACAGGAGAAAAGGAAGAAGAAAGAGCAAAGAGGTAGGAAGAGAACAGATACACGGGGAGGGGGAGGGGAGGGGATGGGGGAGGGGTCCTAGCCAGCATTGGAGGGAGGGTACCTTCTCTGCTTGTCCCCCCTTAGCTGACCTGGGCGCCGGGTGGTTGGTATTGAAAGGGAGGGATAAAGGTGTCGGGAAGAGGCTTGTAAGCCAGAGAGAGAAGGGTAAAGAACAGATGGGAAGAGCTGTGGGAAGGGAGGGACTGGTGGCCCCCCGACCTGGGTCCTGCCCCTCAACTCCTGCTGCTGTCTCTTCTCCTTACATTTAGTTCACGGAGGGTGAGGGGGTCACTCTGTCACGCAGTGACCATGCAGGTCCCCCAGGTCTAGGATGCTGTTCTTCTCTTAGCGTATGTGGTGGGAATGCTGTGAGAACCAAATATGGCTGCTGAGTTTAGCTCTAGGTGTTGGCCGGGAAATGGGCTCAGGGACCAGTGCAGGTCCCACTGGCCTCAGCTGATGGGACACCCATAGGGATGTGTGAGTCTCTCTCAGGCCATGGAGACTTGCCCTTTCCTGCTTTAATGCAGCTTAGAACACTGACTCTGGCTTCAGCTTCAACGACCTGAGGGATATCTCAGGCTGAAGGTTGAAACAGACCAACCTGGGATAGAACCCTTCCTCCCCCAGAACCCCAGGAATGATCAGTCCCTGGGGGCTGGGTAGCACTGAGAGCTCAGATGTGGCTACAGGGCCAGGCAGGGTGTTCCTGGATCAAGGAGCAGATAAAATATTGAAATTAATCATTAGGTACCCATCTCCTTGCCTGGCTGCTCAGGGAGCAGGAAAATTGAGGCACATCAGGGACTCAGAGCCAGGCATAGGACCATGGGTTTGGGGAGTGACTTGGTTACACACTGTCACCTGCCATGCATCTGTCCAGGTGGGCAGACAAGTTAGACAATGTGCAAACCTGTGACCAGATGAAGGATGAGGCATTTGAGCAGCATTCATTAAGAGAGCTGTAGCCAGGCCTTCGGGGTGAGGTGGATCTGGGTACAGTCAGCCAGGGAGGAAAAAGGAGGGGATGGCAGAGTCTCAAGCCGGTGCCAGGCACCATCGCGTGTCAGGGAGTGTGCCAGAGCCTTGCCTCGTGAGTCCTGTGAGCATTCTGCCAGGACTGTCTGCTGCTGCAAGCCATGGTCTCTCTGAGCCCAGGCCCCCCTGGGAGCTTGATGATGAGTGGGCCAGCGAGAAGACATCTCTGAGCAGCAGAGTGCGGGCACCAGGGAGGTCTCATGGCTGCTGTGCGGTTGGCCCTAGCCCCTGTGGCAATTCTGGTCAGTGACACGGAGGACGCAGTGTGCAGAGCCAGTGAAGGGAGAAAGCGAGCTCAGGTCAGCACAAGCTGCCAGTCATGACAAGATGTAACAGACGGGAGGTCTAGGCCCTGGTGTCCACCGTTAGGCCATGGGGGTCAGGTGGGCCAGAGATGTTTGAGTTAGGAGTCCCGAATGAGGAAGCTGCCAGCAATGGGCTGACCGGGAAGCATATCGTAGGAGGTAGGGTTCCCAGACCCAGGAGGGACTTACCAGTCGGACAACCAGGTTGGTTCTAGACCCCACTTGGACGGCAGAACCCTAACCCAGTCTCTGAGGGAGGTGTGGGATAGAGAGGCCTGTAGCATTCCCATTTTCCAGTCCCAAGGTCTTAAAGAAAGGCTCTGCAGAACCCAGCTGTAGACTCTTCTGAGAAAGCCATGCCTTCAGGTTGAGGCTCCATCTGACACCCTTTCCAAAAGCAGACTTGGGGTCTGCTTGGGAAGCTTGGGTGGTGTGATGGACAGGTGTGGACCACATCTGACTTGCCAAGCTCTTCCAATGAGGTTTTGTGGTCCGTAGATGGATTGCCATATCATTTCCCTGATGTATGGCTCCAAGACTCATCCCTTCTTTACCCCAGAGGAGAGATGGTGCCTGCCTCCCCTGAGTGTGCATTGCTCCCCAGAAGGAGTGTGAAAGTGGCAAGATACTAAGTGGATAGCCCCAGCTTATAGGGTAAGGATGGATGGAATACAGACACAGGAACTCCCTTCCCATGTAAAGCTCTCAGATGATTTAGGATGTACCTAGATCCAGGGACATGGGGATAGGCATACATGCTGTTGTACTAAGGGAAGGAAGATGGGAGCACCCTGGAGGG